CGTCCTGCTTAAGGCCCGACGTTCAGACCCGACGTCCTACCCAAGGCCACACCATCAACGTACACCCGATCTTCCAAGTGACACTGGGTCTAACACCTGACTCCTTGTCTCCTACCGCCTACAGTCCTTCTGACCTCTGTCGCCTACTACGGTCCGTCCGACCAACATCACTAGACAACGGTCTTTCAGACCCCAGCTTTCTATCGACTATGGTCCTTCAGGCCTTCGTCGCCTAATATGGTCCTTCTGACCTCCATCAACAAACAACAGTCTTTCTGACCCCGATTTTCTGCCGACTACGATCTCCTGCCGACTACGGTCCTTCAGGCCAAAAAAAACCTGTATATGTAACTCCTACCATGTAATGCAATCTATATGATGTACATTTGCTACATCAATCCGGCCTTCTCCCTAAGAAGGGCCTCATTTGTAATCGACTACAAATACTAGTGGATTCATTCAAACTGGGCCAGGCCCCGTGATTTTTCCCCCTTTTCAGGGGTTTTTCACGTAAAAACTCTGGTGTCTCTTATGAACGCTACACCCTCTCACTTATCTGATTGTGTGCTGGATCTTCGTACAATGCTAAGACGTTAAACTAAACATTTCTCTACCGCCGCGAATACTCCAGGACGCAACAAGGCTATTGTGTCAAGTCTTAATTCGTAACCAACATCGTAAATTGATAACCCCCAAAGTCAAAATTATAGAGTAATAAACCTCACTCAAAATCTTTTAAGGATGTGTTGGCTAGCTCTTCAATTCTTTTACCTCTATTTTTTGGATCTGAAAGCTTGTACCATTCGTGGTTTTCCCTCTCTATGAATCTCGGAGATAGAGATTCAGGCACTAGTCGCATCATTCAAGTTTTCATTACTTGGGAAGTTTTTTTTGGTCGTAGACCTCCTTTGGATGGAATCCCAATTGTTTTCTTTAACCTGTAACTCTCAGCTAAATTTTTTGTAACTCTCTTGAATCCTAAACTTGTTTTAATTAAACTATATATGCAATAATTTAGATTGTAGCAAGGTTTTTGTTAAGGGTTGTTACTATGTAAACAACTATTATATAAAGTTAATCAAATTAATGGTATCCATTATTTGATCTTAGCGAGGAATCTCTTGTCGTCTCGACACTACGGGAAAACACGCAATTACCGTCAAATTTTCCGGTGGAATAATTTGCGTCGGCAAATGAGACGCCTGTAACAGCGCATAGTGCGAAGGAAAGTTTACGGCATTTTTTCCAGCGCATGTTCCGTCGGAAAAGTTCCGACGTCTAATGCTCCGGTAAAAACGTCGGAATATACTAGCATTTTACTGGTTTTGATGCACTTTAAAGCGAAAAATATCCGGTGCAGTTACCGATGGATAATATGCCAACGTTTTTAAACTCAAAGACTTAAAACCGGCGCAAAATGCATCGGAATGTTTTCCGGTGTCTGGGATGCCGGAAAATCCGCCGGCGAAAGCCCTATTTTCAAACCCTAGCCCCTCTGGCTGCTCATTTCATTCGTTCATTTCTCTCGCATATCCGCTGTTTTTCTCGTCGCCCACAGTCGCTCTCCGTAGATCGAGGTCGCCGAGCTCTGTTGACGGTCACCAGACGTCGCCGACGGTCATAGCCTTCCTCGCCGGCGAGAGCTCCATTTTTTACCGTAAGTTTCTGTGATCTTCTGCCTCCCGTCGATTGTAAGTTTTTTTTTCATGTAATTTGTTTGGATTCATGCCGGGTAGATCTATTATGGAAGCCATACATTTTTTGAAATGTTTGATGGACAAATATAGAGAGAGTAAGGAGGATCTACATATGTACTTTTGTAGATTTAAAGAAAGCATATGATAAAGTTTCAAGAGGAGTGCTATTGAGAGTTCTTGCAAAAAAAAAAAAGTTACTAACGCTTATATTCAATATTTTTTTGTTTCTAAACTTTTTAAAATCAATTTGGATTAACGCCGAGTAGGTCTACTATAGAAGTTATACATTTATTGAGAGATTTGGATGGAGAAATATAGAGAGAATAAGGATGATCTGCATTTCATATTTATTGATTTAGAGAAAGCATATGATAAAGTTCCAAGAGATGTGCTATAGATACTTCTTGAAAAAAAAAGGAGTTAATAATGTTTGTATTCAAAACATTAAAGATATATATGCATGAGGTATTACTTGTGTTCAAACACGAGGTGGTTTGACCAAATATTTTCTCATTATGTCTGGATTACATAAAGGATCAGCCTCAAGTCCAAATCTTGCAAGAGGATGTACCTTTATGTATTCTTTTTGCTTTAGTCATGGACATTCTCAATAGGCATTTGCAAGAGGATGCACCTTTATGTATTCTTTTTGCTAATGATATTCTTCTTGTTAATAAGATTAGAGATGGAGTTTAAGGTAAACTTGAATTATGGAGGTCAGCTTTAGAGTCTAATGGTTTTCGCTTGAGTAGATCTAAAACAAAATATACGGAGTCTGAGATATGTGGTTTAGAGAGTTTGAGGTATTTTTGGGTATTAGTTTTTATGTTAAATGATTTATTCTTTTTTACTTAAGCTAAAAATCCTAGCTATATATTATATATTGTATGTATTTAAATGCAGAAAGAATTTTGTTTGCTGCCCCAGCACAATGACAAGATTAGAAAGAATTTTGAGAAGCGTGGGTCCACTCGGATGCGCGACATGTTCACAGACATTAGAAAGTCTGGGAAGCGATCATTGTGGATTGGAGAGGTTATATGGGCTGAGTTGAACACTACTTGGGGCAGTGCAGAGTATACCAGGAGGAGGGATCAAAATCAATAGAACAGAGCTTCTGATGTTGGGGGCTTGGGTAGTTCCCTTCACACTGGCGGCTGAGGCTCCGTTCCACATACTGAGCACAGGCGACATTTGGTAATGAATTTTATATGTTTTTTAAAATTTTTCTTTAATACAAATAGTAATAGAATTCTTTTAATTCTAATAGAAAGAGATGCTGGGTAGAGAACCGACCCCTGTGAAATTACATAGTCACACTCATAAGCGACAAGAGGATCAACAATGGATTGATGAGAGAGCAAGAAAAGCCCATGTAAGTATATATATGTGTTTAATAATTTTTATTTTTAGTTTAATTATATATATTTATATTCTATTATGGAGTAACATGTAAGTATATATATGTGTTTTTTCTTTTGCTTTAAAGAAAAAAAGATGTAGTAACATAAAGTTTATGCTAAATCGCCTCGTTTAACAATGTAAACATCTCTTGATTTCTACTACTCTAAACCATGTGATTAAGCTTTATTATATTATGTGCAAGCTAACCCAGTTGCTAACAGTATCCCTCACCAAGAAATAGTAAACAATAATAAGTTCAATCCCATAATAAGGATTCCAACAATACTCCCAGTCAATTGTCACAAAATGCAAGTAAGGCCAAATATCAATATTAATATCAGCAATCCTACTGTAATTAAGTTTGACAATTCATAATATAGTAAGACCTCATAGCAAAAACCCTACTGTAATCCAAATCGTTGGATAACTGGATAGAAACATGCCTTGGATCAAGTAATTAATCCTATAGAAAAGTTACCAGAAAGTTTCAGTTTACCAAAAAAAATTACGAATCACATCTAGGTTGGGTCTACGAACGGTAAATTTGCCAACAAGAGTAAACTGAAAAGGGGATGCAAGTTTAATAATATCATCATCGGACATTAAAATCGCAGGAAAGCCTTTAACGGTCGATTTCGTAAGAACGAAGGATCTTTCGATTGGCTCGGACCCGCCAACACATCGCGAAAAGATCGCGAAGAAGCCAAAGCTTTACCATTATATATCATACCTTTGGTAGATCCATGCATCCCTTGGGGAGGAACACCCCAGACATTAGCAAGAGCAGACGGTGAGTTCGTATCCATCGGAGAAGATGAAACCCAACAGCCCGAAGGCAAGAAACTGAAGAAGAAGAATCAAAACAGCCAAATACGCTCAGACGAACAACCGATCGAAGAGAGCAGACGGAAAAAACGGGGAGCTGTGGTCGCAAATAAAATCGCCAGAGCAGGGGCGGCTAGGGCAAAAAAATATATGTGTGCGGCTTGTGTGTTATTGATCTTTGGAATTTGAATATTTTTTGTTGGGTTGGAGGAATTATAGTTTGAGGTGTTTTGTTGGGGATGTTCTGATCAGTATCAAATGTTTATTGTTGATAGTGGCTCGTAACCATGGAATTTACAAAGGATATCTTAAAACCAACATAATTTCTCTTTATAGGAATATGCATAAATTCCTCTTAGCTTGGATTTTAACAAATAGTCCTAACTTTGTCAATTTTATTTTTATCTTCTTGTTCTTAAATTTTTTGTTTCGTGTCCTTGCAAGCCACTTTTGCAGGTTTTTGGATAATCACTCTCGTTTTATGCAGGACACGATTGTGGTTGGAAGAGTGGTGCTGAATGAGATTTATCTTTCCCTTTCTATTTTTGTTGGTAGAATGTTATTAGTGTACTTTATAATTTGGCTTAGATGGGACTTCCGGCTCTTAGTTTTCTTTTTTACTTTGATTGTAGCTCGTTGGAGCAGTAGTGAGCATTAGTGAGCTAAAGGTCCCCCTAAAGATCTTGTAATTTTGGTTTTTTATTAACGTGTAGGCCCCTCCGTGGGTTTCCCTAAAAAAAAAAAACATCTATTTGTTTTAGGTTAATGGATCTTGAAGATGTCATTAGATCTGAACTGTTTCTAAGCTTCTGCAAATAGATTCAACAGTATGTTAGCAAAATGAATCTCTTCCACTCACTGCAATAGGGCATTCTCTTATAATTTCAATGTATGAGATAGAGCTTATTTTATTCCAATAAGTACATTCTTCTATTTCTTTCAGCAAGAAGAAAAAAAAACGAGCATTGAATTGATGTGGACCTTGCATTATAAATACAACAACTGATTTTCAATTTATTAAGAAACCAAAAAGAGACACATAAAGCCATATGGTATGATGGCTCAGATAAATAATCAAAGGCATCCACATGAAGAACTATCAAAAGCAACCTTCACAATTTTCTAGAGCTCACATAGTACTGATTTAAATATGAGATAAACTACTAGTCCAAAGTTTTTCCAAATGATGAGGAAAGCAACCTAGATGATCATGAATGGACGAAGTCACTCAAAGCAAAGTGCAATATATAATGGCACCAGCAACCCTTTTTCACCAGTTGCTTTTGGAGAGTTGTTGACCTGAAAGAGATTAAATTATGACCAAGCATCAAGATCATGAGAGAAGTAAAAATTTTGACATTTATAATCTTTACTAGAACTTCGTTACGCCTTTGTAAGAAGTCAAGAGAATCCACCTTAACAGATCAAAACATTTTACTATTTGAAGTTGCAGGAGGTGCTGTACTCAAGGCTAAGTTCTTGTAGATCGTAGATTGCTGCTCGGCAAGGGTTTATCAACAGAACAAATATTTGGATTTTAACCAGGACCTCAATTCAAAATCTAAGAGAGCATTAAAAAAGGCAATGATCTTAATTATTTAGTGCACAATCTTTGGCTCTATAGTTTCTTAGATTTGCTAAAACTTTTAAAGCAACAATTTTTAGGTGCACAAAAACTTCGTTTTCCTTCCTGTGGATCACAAAATAGAAGAAAATAGTTACTTACACTGTAAGATTAAGTTACCTTAAAGTGAGCTAAAATTAGAGAGATTTTTCAGTGGTTGCATCTCAGAAATTTTTATATCTATTTGTAAAGCTGAAGTGGAACTATATATTATCTGAAGCTTGGTATTTAATGCTTATGAGCTTTGATGGATTAGTATAAAATGTCTACCGGAAATAGAAGAACTGCTTCATGAGGCCAAAAGGCAAGCCAAAGAAATGTAATTGAGATATAAGTAATATGATATTGCAAAAGAAATGGAGTTAGATGTAATTTGTATCATCTAACTCATTAATAAAGGATAGCCATGCATTGAGTTTTGTGGGGAGGAAGGCTTAACTCATCTCTTAATCACCATATCAGTATGGATATCTAATGAATAGATTTGAGGCTATTGTACAAAAAAACAAGGTATGATTAATATTTTTTGGTTAGGCCCATCAATATTGTGTATGATTGTTAGTAACCAAGACTAAAATTGACATCAGAACTGGAATTTCTAGTTGATGAGAAGGACTTTATATAAGTTCATTGAATAATTAGAGAATATGCCTGAAAATACAAGAAATAAAATGTCAAAAAAATGGCGATGGCTTGGGGGATCCCAGAAGAAAGTATCTGCACGTAGTTTATTCACTGGAAGGTTTCTCCAATGTTGTGGTACATATGCCGGAGTCTTGAGTGCGCTAACATCATCTAAAGTACGTGCACGAGGGTAAGACGATCTCAAAAGCAAAAAAATGGATCGGAAATGAAGAATATTAGAAAATAGTTAATATTTTGATATATGTGTATGCACGTGTGCATGTGTGCGTGTGTCTATATGTGTCTGTTTGTATGTATTTGTATTTGATTTAGTAGCTGTTTGGTATGCTATAAAAGAATAAAAATTAAAAGAAGTGAAGTGTAAAAACAATATAGTGTATTTAAAGTGTTTGAAGTTTATTGGATTAGTGTAAAAAGAATGCAAGAGATTATTTTTTTGTTTGACTTGAAATAAAATGGATGCAGTGTAATATTCAAAATGATGGGGATCAGCCATCGACTCTGGCATGGTGGCTGACGGTGGTGCCGGTGGTTGGTGGAGATCAGCAGACAACATACGGTGGCCGGCGAAAGTAGTGACAAGGTAGCTTGCTTGCGGAAAAAATAGTTTTTACTTAAAATTAGGCAAGCTTGCAACATAAAAAATAAACTAGAATACTTTCCATTACATTTAGAATACCTTACACTACATTTCTCTTTCATCCAACCAAACATAAATATTTTTAAAACCACTACAAAAGCAATACTTTACACCCATTTACTTCCAAACAAGTAGCCCCTCAAAATATTAAAAATTATATAAATTATTGAGATTAGATTTTAATTCTTGCACCTTCTTCGCCTGAGCCTTCCTGTCCTTCATCCCTACCTCCAACGTTGCCACCCCCCCCCATAAACTACCCCCTTAAACTGCTTTTATCGTGCATCTATGACCGCCCTAAAAATTTAGTAGTCCTTAATCACCCCCAAGTCACTCTACACCACATGAGTATACCCTTCCTACTACCTACCTCACCCATTCCTTTCTCCATCACAAAAAGCCTCCATCTTAACGTCATATTTCCAATGACTTCCATTGAGCACCTCTTATTACCCTTGAACAACCTAAGCCCCCAAAATCACAACCATTCTCACTACTTCCCATCGCCTTCACCGCCAAGCTCTCTTATTGTCAACAACATTCCTCAATTAAGTTCTCTCCCGTTATTGATAGTCTCGCTATTAAGTTCTTTCCCGTTACTATTCTACTCAGTGCAATGATTTATTATATTTTTTAAGCACTCAAATAAATGCTTAATAGTAGATGCATTTGAAAATTTAGATTGGTAGATATAGACTACTGAGCTGTGTTAGCTCACAGTTGTTCTGCGCTCTGCTTTTAGGCTCTGGAATGGGAAATAGCCTATTAAGTAATAATTTTTAGAATTTGATATGAGTCTGTATGGATACTTCTTTTTTAAAAGTTATTTTTTGTACAGTCATGACTAATCACTTAATCTAATCTCTATTATGTATTCCGATCGTATTTAACCATGTATTGTATTGTAATTATTGAATAAACTGTTTGATGAGTAATGAAAAGATATTTTGTGATTGAGCTATTTTCTGTATATGGGTAGTTGTTAGCGACTTTGTGGTTTGTTGTTTATTTTAATGTTAAAATTGGACAAAAAATCTGTATAGTTTCTAAAACTCAAATCTCTTGGTCGGCTTATTGCAAGCCAACATGATAGGATCTAACCCATATGTGGGTCTTATCGCATTGGGTTGTGACAATCTTTTTTTGGTATCAGAGCACTGGGTTTGGAAACTTATTATAAAATAAAGCTATAGGATTTAATCGGTAAAAGAAGTTCGATAGTTTTAGGTATGTCTAGGCATTCATTCATGTTTGTTTTCTTGTGCATGCATATTCAGACGAATGTTCTACGTGATTATGGTTCCGTCCGACCCAGATTTGACAAACGGGCAGAGTGCCCGTCAAGTAGCACCTATACAGAGTACCGCTCCTGCAGCCAGTTTTGACCAGTCCGTGGGTCTATCAGGTCATGGTTTGTGACATATGGAGCCATATGTTACCATTATCATAAATTTTAAATTATCCCCTTGAATATTTGTTGAAGGCTTCATGAAACCTCTATTTCTTCCTAATTCATTTATACTAATTTTAAGAAGTTCACAATAGAGTTGCAGCTCAAGTGATATACTCCTTGATTCTTAACATAGAAGTCAAAGGATCAAATTCAAGATGTGATCTTCTTTAAATTAAATATTCACTAGCTCCTTGCATGGATTCATTCTATCACTGGTACTGCACCATCTTTATGTGAAATTGATCTCATTCCTACTTATCCATAACCTGTCGTATGCCCTAAGTTTGTTATATAAGCATTTGGAATATATTTTCTCCATTAATTAAAACATGATTAACTGATCATAAGGTTTTTTTTTCTACCACTCATTGTACATGTTTAAATCGTCTAACCTTATGTTTCTATAACCTTATCTTCACTGGATATTAAACCCGGCCACAACTTTACTAATATTATATTTCCTCAATTTATCTTGTTAACAACATATTCAACTTAGCAGTCTTATTTCCATCATGACTAACTGGACTAGATATTAGCCATTGAGAGATCCAAATCAAGTGGCATACCCCTTGGTCACGCGGTTGCATAGTCGAGTATGGGTAGACTTAAGCTTCGTTTGGGACGGTTTTATTACTGCTTCTAATTAAAACAACTTTCTAGTGTAAAAATTTAAAATTTTGTACTAAAAAGCTGCTTTAAGAAGCAATAAAAAAGTCGTCTTAAACAAAGCCTTAGCCCTCTAGCTAGTGCCGTCATTTTGTAATTGTCATTTTGATATATATATATATATATATATATATATAATAAAAAAAGAGCTGGGAGGAAGGTTCCACTCTTTCCTACCATATATGCATGGCTAGTAGCTAAACAAGGGAAAATTGTATCTATCCTAAAATTAGAGTGAGTAAACTTTTGCCCACTAAATTTTTGTCGCCAGCTCTTAATAGAACCAACAAATTTCACTTCTAATAGATGTTTACTTGAAAAGTGTTTATGCTACAAGTTTTCTTGTATTGATTATGGCTATCCATAATCGATGTGATATCACTGAAGATAAATTTCCATATACTTACTGTATTATAGGCCATTGGATCTTCAATTTCTTGCTCGATGTTGAGCTTCTTCTATACTAATGGGATCATTAAATTTTTTACTACTACAGTAGAAGAATAAAACGTCAGTTAAATTATAAATTATATGTTCTCAGAGTCAAATTTCACATAGATTCATGGCAGGATGGTGGATAACATCCTGAACAAAACTTTATCTAGCAGAAAATCTCAATTTCATCATTTGAAGAAATCATGGAAATTGAAGAGGCAAAGCATCATAGATCCATGCATACTAAGCAAAAGACCATTCCTTGCAGAATACTACACTGCATATTCTAATTAATACATTACACCCAACTCCTTGACTTTACTAGTAAATATTGTAACTTCTTCAGAAGACTCTTTTGAGCTCACATAGTCATGCAACCATCATTACACTGTACGCTAATAATCTGAACATTTAAATTCCTAAACATATACTGTACAATATTATGGATCTTAAATTTAAGTCCACTCTTATACTAAAAGTTCTCTGCAAATCGAATGCATTTCCCACCTTTTACTAGTTAAGGAAACTTCTGATTCTGTTGCATTTATTTCAACACTATGGCATCAGGCTTCCGGTTGTGGATTAATCATGAAATAAGGTGCTTGATAAATATAATAGTAATGAAAAGTAGTTCCCAAAGCACTTGAACTTCACATCTTTTTTTTCAAAAAAATAAGTCTATTAGTTTAAAGTATGGCATGAAGTCACTTATAGATAAGTTGGCATGACAACAATTATAGACAAGGCAAGCATAAGATAGGTTATAGATTAAATTTTATGTGGAAAGCTAATTCATATTTATTTGCGAAGAACTTGAAAGTTTTATAGGGAAACTT